AGCGACGGGGGAGACCCCGTCGACATTGGAAGGAAAAGAAAAGGTCAGGCAAAGAAACGCAAATTAGCATTTAATGATTCAGGACTTTCTGATAATTATAAAATGTACACCAAACCAAATTACAAGAGACAGTTCCCAGAAAATCACAGTGTTGATTGTGTAGTATATGTAGAATCAACGGAAGACGAAAAATTAGGGAATAAAAATCCTATGACTTTGACTAAACTATTCACAGAAAATGTAAAGGGTATCGTAGGAGTTCATCGAGTGAACGCCTATAAAATTGGCATCACGTTCAGGAAACCGGCACCAGCAAATAATTTTCTTAAAATGGACCATTTTTTGAATAAAAATAAATTTCGAGCTTTTGTACCCGCATATTTATCAGAAAAAACCGGCGTTATTCGATATGTACCGACAGATATGTCCAATGAAGATATATATAAAAATATTAGCTGTGACGCAGAAGTAATTTCTATTAAACGTTTTATGAGAAAAGTAGATGGGATCCTTACACCTTTAGGTACAGTTGCTGTCACATTTGCAGCAACAACATTGCCACAATATGTCTACATTCAGTTGTTCAGATATCCTGTGCATACTTACATTCCACCATTAGTTCAATGTTTCAAATGTCTAAAATTTAACCATTCAGCCAAAGTTTGCCGAGCTGTACAGATGTGCTCATCATGTGCTGGTCAGCACTCGTATAAAGAATGTGATGTTGACACGATAATGTGTATTAATTGTGGTGGCAATCATCTAGCTATTTCTAGGAATTGTCCCATTAAAAGGAAGAAAATGGAAGAGAAGAGGAACAAGTATCTCAATCTTAGTTATGCCACTGTTGTGAGTATACCTTCAAATGTTTCAGAGTCAAAAAATTTTCCAAATCTGGAAAAATCCAGTAATGTATATAGCTCTCAGTTAAATTCAAATGTAAATAAATCCGAATTAAATAAAGATGAAATTGTAAATAATGATATTATAATTAATGCTCTCGTTAAATCTCTTGTTGCTCTTGGGAACAACAATGAGAAAATGTCAATAACTCATAAGAAAATTAAAGAAATATTATTGTCTAATTTAACTTAGTTTTATGGATACATATATAAACATAGCACAATTTAACATACAAAGCTTACAGAGTAAAAAAGTTCTGTTACAAAAATATCTTACAGAACAAAATATTGATATATGCTTACTTAATGAGACATGGTTTAAAAGTAATAGTAAAATTCCAAGATTTGCATCATATAATTTTATTTTCAAAAATTCTACAAATCCACACAACGGAATTGGTATATTAATTAAGAAAAATTTTAAATATAATATTATTAATACTACTTTCTTTGAAGCTGTTCAAAATTTATGCATCTCAATAGAAACATCTATTGGTAAATTACATATTCTGTGTGTATATTGTCCCCCTAGTGGAAAGTTTCACACCAATAAAATTAAAAAAGTACTTCTGGATACTCCTAAACCATGTCTCATTATGGGTGATTTCAATGCACATCATATTTTGTTTGGTTGTAACACAAACAATAGTAGAGGTAATATTATGTTCAGTCTTATAGATGAATTCAATTTATATGTGTTGAACGATGGTAGTCCGACTACTGTTCCAGTGTCAAACAGGCAAGCATCAGCAATAGATTTAGCTTTAGTTAGTCCTTCAATGTCTCCTCTTTGTGAGTGGAAAGTCCATGATGACCCGATGGGCAGTTATCATTATCCGACTCAGGTACGTGTAAATGTGAAGCCATCAATATATGAAGTTAGACCTGTGGAAGATAAATATTTATATAATAAAGCAGATTGGTCTAAATATTACAGTTTATCTAAAATTAGTTTTTCTCACTTAGACATTTATAACAGTACTGAACCTTTACAGTTATATAATGATTTTGTATATATTTTATATAATATAAGAGATAAGACAGTTCCTAAACAAAAGTTAAAACAATCTTTCCAATTTTTGAGAAAACCAGCTCCTTGGTGGAATGACATTTGTGATGATGCTGTTCAAAAGTCTAAAGAAGCCCTGAGACAGTACAGAAATTCTCCATCAATTTCTAATTTCATAAATTACAAAAAAGTTGATGCTAAAAAGAAAAGAATTCTAAGGGAACAACGCACAGAGTCATGGCATCAGTTGTGCACCAGTTTCAATAGAACAACACCTATTTCTAGAATATGGAGTTACATCAAAAGGTTTAAAAGATTAGATAATACTTCAAATAGAAACCCAAATGATGAATGGATACCAGAGTTTTTAGACTCATTGGCAGCATCATCACATTTACAAAATGATATAACAGATATTTTGAATCTGTCTGAAGAAAATGCTAGTAACTCATTTATTAATAAACCCTTTACATTACATGAGTTCCACATTTCACTAAAAAGTCGGAAAGATACAGCTCCAGGGTTGGATGGTATAACATATTTTTTAATTAAACAATTACATCCTAATGCAAAGAAAATATTATTAGATATATATAATAAACTTTGGGAATATTCAATTATACCAGAATCTTGGAAAACCCAGTGTGTTATCCCTATTCTAAAACCCAATAAACCTGTAAATTGTGCATCATCATATAGACCTATCTCTTTCTTATCTTCATGTTTAGGTAAACTCTTTGAAAACATGTTAAAATTTCGTTTGGACTACTATGCTGAATCACAAGATAAGTTGCCAAATATACAGTTTGGATTCAGAAAGGGCAGAAGTTGTTCTGAAAGCTTTGTATCATTAATATCTGTGTTAAAAAAAGCAAAATTAAGTCACTCTAATGTAGTGTGTGTATTCTTAGATGTTAAAGGTGCTTTTGACAATGTGAATATAGAATGTTTAATTCATGTGTTGCATAACTTGGGTTTGCCAAGTAAAACATTAAAGTGGCTTTTTAGTTTTTTAAATAATAGAACTGTTTTTGTTAAATATAATAACATTTTACATGGACCAAAAAATGTTAACAAAGGGACTATGCAAGGGGCCACATTGTCTCCTTTATTGTATAGTTTGTACACATCGGAGATCCTCAACTATGTGGATAATTCAAAAGTTAATATTCTTCAGTTTGCTGATGACCTGCTTTTATATAGTGAAGATCAAAATTTAAATATGGCCATTAACAACATTAATTCTGCATTATTTCAGCTTCATAATTACTATAGCAATTTTTTAAAATTAGAAATCAGTTCAGAGAAAAGCTCAGTTTTGGTATTTAGTTGAGAGAGAGATCCATCTGTATTATCCAGAGTGAAAGTTTTATATAACAATAAAGTAATCCCAATTGTTAATCATCATAAATTTTTAGGTGTAGTATTAGATGACAAATTAAAATTTGATAAACACATTAACTATATCTCCCAAAATGCAATGAAAAGTGTAAATGTTTTGAGATGTCTGGCTGGAACTTTTTGGGGTTCTGACCCTAAAACTCTAAATTTGCTATATAAAAGTATTGTTAGGAGTCATTTTGATTATAGTAGTTTGGCTTATATGAATGCTAGCACCACATTGTTGAGGAGACTCGATGTGATACAGAATATGAGTTTAAGAATAATTTGTGGAGCCATGCGCTCCACTCCTATTAATTCTATGGAGATTGAAAATTGCATACCTCCATTATCCCTCCGACGTTTACATTTGGCTCAACGTTTCTGTTTGAAGGAATTGTCTTTCAATAAAAATATGGTCCTTAATAATATTATATATCCAGTAGAATTTTCTTCTGTTGTATCCTCCAATATCTCAGCTTCCAGCATTGTTTCTAACCCCTTGCCTGAAATTCCAATCATAATGTTAAATGTTAAAAATACAGCAAATCATATTTATGTAAATGCTAAATGGCCAATGTACAAATGTCCTTACAATTCATTGCTTAACTATCTAGATATTAAATGTTATATAGACTTAGTACATAACAAATTTGATTTTCTTGAATTTTTGAATAAGAAATCACATTTCTATGTAATCTATACTGATGGTTCTAAAAGTGCAAACAGTGTTAGGGCAGCATATTATGATCCACAAAAGAAACTCACAAAATGTATTAAATTGGAAGAAAATTGTAGTATCTTTACAGCTGAAAGTTATGCTATTTTAAGTGCTTTAATATTTGTAAATAACTTTGTAAATAATATAAATATATTAATAGTTTCTGATTCCAAGAGTGTATTGGAATCTTTATGTAATTGTAATTACTCGTATAAGCAAAATTATTTACTTTATGAAATTAAAGATCTGTTGCGAACATTGAGTCAGAGTAAAAACATAGAATTTGTGTGGGTACCCTCGCACAGTGGCATACTAGGGAATGAAATTGTGGATCGAGCAGCTAGTCGAGAACACGATGAGGATCACTCGGAAATGTTGAAAGTTCCGTTCACAGATTATTACCGACTACTTAAAAGTAATTTAGCAAAAATATGGAAAGACCATTGGGATATAACAACTGAAACTAAAGGGAAATGGTATGCGGAGTTACAGAGAGACTTACCAATTAAACCTTGGTATAGCAAATTTAAATACTGCGGCAGGAAGTTTATTACGATCATCAATCGTCTTCGTTTCGGGCATTGCTTAGTTCCAGTTCACCTCAACAGACTCAATATTATTAGTGACAATAAGTGTAAATACTGTTTTCAAGACAATGCAGACATAAAACACATTATATTTGACTGTCAAAATTTCAACATTCAACGGCTGATACTTGTTAGTGATATTAGTGATATTGCGAAGGAACATTCACAATGCGTTCCCCGCCGCGTTCAAGATTTATTATCCAACGAAGCTTATTTTACGTCTGTTTTTAACTTCATTACTAATACTGTAGATAAAGTTTAAGAATTTTTTATGTTATCAATATTGTTAATTGCGTTTATATAGTAATTTGTTCTACAGTCCTTTTTTTGTAAATATCATTTATGTCTGCGACTGAAGGACTTGTATCCATGGTCATGAATAAATTAAAAAAAAAAAAAAAAAAAAACTTATAATTGACATTTAACAATTTGACAGAAGTGTTTTTATTTTATTTCATTAACTGAGATTTCCAAATTATTTTTAAAAAAATGACTACAAGACAAGCCATACAAGTTGGAACTAAGACTGTAAAGCCTTTACTTTCTTTAAATTCTGTGGAAGCTAGAAAGAGAGTACTAAATTTGTACAAAGCTTGGTATCGTCAAGTTCCGCACATAGGTATGTTTCTATCTATTATGTCATCGTAGTAAGAAAATCGATAAATTGATTGTTTTAGATCAGCGTTTTAATTTTATAATAATCCTTAACTAATATAATAAATTACCGTTTGATCCTGGTATAGAATAGGCGACCCCTTCCTTTCTGTGGGTGTAGTAAACGGTGACTAAGGAATGGTCAAGGGATAGAATCATCCGTGTATCTCTTAAAACATCACCTAGGCCTAACTGCGGTTACAAACGCGCCTGCCAAGTATGGCAACTACTGACAAAACCCCCAATAGGAAGAGGCCTATTGTCAGCAATGGACAACTAACTGCTGATATGGTATGGTATGATAATATTATAATGCTGAAGTGAGTTTTCTGTTTGTTTGTTACACTTTCACGTGTAAACCGCTAAATTGATTATGATAAATTTTGGAATAGAGCTAGATGGATCCCTGGAAACTGTTATAGGCTACTTTTCTCGCAGTCAGTGAACATATCACAATCACCTAGACAAAGTAGCGGGTAAGCTAGTATATGTATATTTTTTTATCAACAATTGGATTGGTTATTACTGCACCTGCACTATTGGTGGTATACCAATGATGAGTGACAGATAACTATGAAGACAGATCAGATAGATGATTGTGACAATATCACCAGAAATTAACCAACACAATTTTCCTAACAGTGATTCCATTGGTCCCTAGCCTTTGTTAATAACAATGCCCTCATTCTCTAATATATTAAAATTTTACTCTCTAATATATTAATATTAGATATATCTAAAATTTCCATGTTACATTTTCTTGACTTCTATGAAATATAAAATACATAGGATAATATTATTAGATATTATTGTATATTATATATTAAATATTATTATAATTTATAAATGTAATCATATTTGCAGTGAAGGATTACGACATCCCAAAATCGGAAGAACAATGCAGAGAAAAACTGAAGGAACTGTTTTTGAAAAACAAAGATGTCACTGATATCAGAGTTGTTGATATGCTTGTAATTAAGGTATATATTTTTTACTAAATTTTACCTAAATGTGAAGTTAAGTAATTTTTTTATTTTTTATTCAACTTAGAATGGCAAACAAGCTGACGGACCACCTGATGGAAAGTGGTAACCATCTCCTATAGACAACATATAAATAACAAAGCTTTATGCATCTACATATAATAGGGTTGATAAAATTAAACTAAAATAATATTTACATATACTAATATTAAGAAAAAACATTCTTAAAGCTGATTGGAATCAAATTCTACAAATTATATCTTCCATGTCTAAAAAATATAACTTAATAAAAGTATTTTTTTTACATTATATATAAGCAAATAATACTATATTATTTATTATTGTTGTTTATGTCTATTAGTAGGTTATCAGCATGTAAACCATTTTAAGAAGTATAAAAAAAACATCGAGGGGAAAGCTACTGAATTATGGAGTAGTGAAAGTGGATCAAACTATTAACTAGGTAATCTATATAAAACACAACTCATAATCTTAATATATAACTATTCTTTATTTTCAGGGACAAATGGAGCTAAAAGAAACTGTGAAATTGTGGAAACAAAAAGGTCATATAATGAGTTATTTCAAACCAACTGAAGAACCGAAGCCAAAGGATTTCCTTTCAAAATTTTTCTCTGGAAATGAATAAATTATATGATATCTACCTAGTTTCTCAAATAAAAGTTATGTAAATAGATGTTTCAATTTAAAAATATTTAGTGTTATTTACTGAAAGTTAATACTCAATATGAAATTAAATTCATTAATAATTAATTCTCTTCAAATCAATAGTAAATAAGTATCTTCTGGGCAAGCATACTCCATCCTAGATCTTATCATCATTTATTATTAGGTGAGGAAAAATCAAGTGCAAACCCATCTTGTAATAAAAAAAAAAAACACTGTAGATACTACTCTGTGTTTTCACTGTATTTTTTCAAAACAAATGTCTTTGAGACTATCATAGATGTGGTGTGTGACCCTTTTCATTAGAAAATAGTAGTTAAAATTGAAAGAACATAATTACCACAAACATTATGTAAAGATTGTTTATGGCATGACATACCTCTCTGAAATCGAAAGAAAAATTTAGAATATTAAATTAGTAAAAATTAGCTTGCAGTTGCAAATGTCTTGGAAGTTATGTTTTTTAAACTTTTGACTTTTAATGTAAAATAATAATGATGATGTTAAAATTTCTTAAAAACACCCCCTTATTTATAAAAAATAAACCTATAAACCTACTTTAACTATTACACAGTTTTGTCACGTTCATCCAAATTGAGCATTTAGTGCAAAAGAAAAAGATGCAACGATTCAATAGCTAAAATAGGTTTATGAGAGATTTGACGTTTTTATTTATAAGAGTAACCTCTTTCTACGTCTACTGAATATGTTTCTTCACAAACACGAATAGAGTACATACGTTAAAATAAAAAGTTAGAGGAGTGTGCCATGTTAATGTAAACACCTAACTTAAAAAAAATATATATAAGAACTTATTTGAGTGCAGTTAAAGTCATAAATTAACTATATTACCTGTGGTTTAGAATGAATTATCATCATGCAATCTATAAAATATCCTTATCTATTGAAACAGCTTGTTTTCACGGTAAGGTACTGGGGGAAGACAAAATCACAGCAGAGCTGAAAGCGGGTGGAAAACCGACACTTGTAGTCCTAATTATTCTATTTAATTACATCATCCATAACGGTGGTACGCCCGAGGGGTGGAGCAGAAATGCGGTAGTTCTGTTCTTCAAGAAGGATGCAATACCCAATTGAAAAACTATAGACCAATATTCTATATATATATTCTATACATACTGTTTTCGAGAGTCTTGATTAATCGTCAAACGCGCAAACTTTTCATTAACGGCAATCGGTTGCTATTTTTACGAACATTTCTGCCAGTGGCATCTATAAGAGGCTCGTACTGGAGACGGAAATTAGTATATTTAAACGACTGGTTTAATTTTGGACTTTTTGGTAAAAAAACTGAAAAGACAATACGTTATGAGTTAGTGCTAATTATCAATACAAAAATCTTAAATATATATTTCGTATGAATATATAAAATAAAAATATAGATATTATAGATCTAATAGAGTTTATAGTTTGATATTATTGCTTTTAATAAAATTTACTATAATCTATTGAAGTATTGGTATGTTCAGAAAAGGAAATATTTAAAAGATTATTTAAATTAGTAAGTTGTGAGATTTCTCTTTACATTTTTTTTCATGCAATTTAGAATAGCAAACAAGCTGACGGCCCACCTGATGGAAAGTGGTAACTAGATGGTAACCATCGCCTATGAGCAGTATGACATGCTTGAATTCTGCTATCCATTTTTTGAATTGTAAATATATTAGAGCTTATCATCATGATGACCTTTCATAAAAACCCCTACTTATGGAAGTAGGTACTTAATGACAGCACACTGCTTAATTTGCTCTCCTGTGAAAAAAGTGGCTGATTGCTTGATAAATGAATTTATAAAATCACAATTGATCGCACTTTTTTTTAACTTTATTGACCAATAGAAAATATGATACAAAAGGCTTCACAGAGTTAACCCTTCTTTGCATGTTTTTTTTTTATTGGTGAAATAAATCCAAGTGATATATTATATTATTCATGTTCAAAATTAAAGAAAAGATGGTTAAAACAATACATTTGACAGCTATGTTTCTTTTTCTGAAATGGGCATTAAAAAGGTATTTAAATACAATGAACTTAAAGTGAACTTGTTCTTTTATATAATTTTTGGGCATTCAGTGTTATGATGGAAATTCCAAACCAACATTTTATAAAGAAGGGTTAACTGATGTGAACTAATGTGGATAGTTATCCATCAATTATTTTAAAAATGAATAGATCTGTGTCAGACCAAGTACTTTTTAATCCACACTTGTAACTGTATAAAAAAGGAAATAATGGAATATATTATTCTGTTTATTGTTAAATATTTCGACATACCGAAAACTGAAGAAGATTGTCGTTGGAAGATCAGTGAGTATTTTTATAAAAATGCTTGTGTGACTGTCCGCGTCATTTATATACTTTTTTTAGCCGTTTCTATTAGACGTGTGGCCCCAGCATAGAATAGATCACCCCTTCCTATCCCGTGGGTGTCGTAAGAGCCGACTAAGGAATGGGCAGTAGCATCTTTCTTAAAACATCTCTAACACCTGACTGCAATTGCCAATCCGCCTGCCAAGCATAGCAACTACTGGCAATTGCAATAGCAAGGGGGAGGCTATAGAAATTTCTTGAGGGTTTTTTTTTATACCACTGAGGTGGCAAACAAGCATACGGCCCACCTGATGGTAAGCGGTTACCAGAGGTATCACGCGCGCGTTGCCGACCCTGAAGAAACCTCTTTACCCCCCTTTTGAAGAACCCCAGGGTATAGATTAAACAATGCTGAATGTTCTAATTCAAAATCAAAACCAAACATTCCTTTTGGTAATTTGGTTTTATTTAATTAGTTATCAGATATTGTTTAAAAAAATTGAGAAGTGCTGACACGTCCAAATACTTACACATATAGACAGACTAACAGAAAATTCGTCTTCACATCCTAAAACCGAAATTGGCGTGCACTGCGGTTTCAGAGGAGTTTCCTCCCGCGAACGTTCAAACTATAGAATGAGCTCTTTACTGAAGTACCTATTCCCTAGAAAATTCGATATGCACACGTGGCATCAGTGTTAACCATCAGACAGACGGGCTGTATGTACGTTTGTTTACCACCTATATATTATAAAAAGTCTATGTTTTTGTTCATTATAGTTAACAAAATACTAAGTATAGGGTTTTAATTTGACATTTTCTTGTATTTATTGGTTTTATATAATTTGTTCCCTTAGCTGTCTCTTACGATATCCTAAGGGTAAAGAGTGTGCATGTCAAATATCTATAGATATATGTACACAACCATAGTATATTTCTCATTAAATATTATTTTTTAATTAAATTTTATGGGAGTTGTAACAGTAAAAGTTAATCGCGAAAGGGTTTACCTAACTGCCAGTTTACAATAAATAAATGAAAAAGTAAATAACAAACTCAAGATTTTTATTGATCACGTTCATTCTATCACATGCCTTTCCAAAAACTTAAACTAACATGCCACTGTAATTACTTATTGCAAATGCCAATTCCACTCATTACAAAATGACAAATTTTATTTCCTACGAAATATTTAAGGTGTTACTCTATAGTAATTATGACTGTAGATCGTAGACAGCACTAGAATTAGTAACATGCTGTTCACTGCTGCTCCTACCTGCGGTCTGCAGTTCACATTAGGATAACACCTTTAGACTAGCCGATATTTATCCTAAACATACTCATATTTATGGTAGTGTTTTTATCGTACCTAATATCTTAAAAATATAGTATACAAATGTAACAGAATATTCAGTAATAAACTTTTCGCTCTTACGTCTTTTGTTTTTTTTTTTACAGATATAATAACCTATTGCTTAAAGATAAATTAACATTTGCAATAGTTCTCACATATTTACGAGTTATTATCAATTATATTTAACTTCTTTTGTACAACGTTTATCATTATATAAATAGCGTGAATATAACATCATAAGCATAACATGGTATTTGGTAAACTTATTCTTCACAACCATAAAATTGCATTTATATTATATATACATTGTACGTTGACTGTCACGCTCATTGTTTGATTTAAATTATAGTGTTCGTGACATTCTCAACAAATAAATGTGCATTAGTGCCTTATAGATGTATTAATATGTTTATTAATGTTTGTATAATACCTACATAATACCATTAATAAGTACAAAGCAAAGCTCTAGAACCATATTTTTGTGACATGACGTGTAATAAATAAACTTACATTACCGCTTTTGTACCGGTATTGTAGGTACATATATACGCATTAAGTATGTAAAATTATATTATTTATTCAGTAAATGTATACTGTTTCTATAGGGTATAACTGTTCATTAGCATTCTTTTAAGGTTGTCTTCAAACAGTGAAACTGAATATTTTTCTAGAGAAACTTGAGCCGAAAAACAAATAAAATTTTAAAATCTTCATTACTAACTTAATAGCTAATGCGCTTTGTTAGTATAAAACGCTCAATACTTTCGTTAGCACTCTCTTAAAAGGACGCTAATGATTTTGCTTTTACCCTGTATATAGAATAAAATATTGTACTTATTTATCAAATATATAAATATAATAGATGGACGTCCGAATAGTTTCCTTTTTCACAGCTGAATAATGGTTTAGATACTAATGGTGTGATTTGAGCGCTTTTTGAACCTATCCTTTTTATTTTAAAGAAGTATAAATAAATAACATTACATACATTAACCTAAATTGGTTAGACTACACTTGTTAATAATACAAAAGTACTTTTATGTACATACCTACAATATTTTAAACAGGTAATTGTTACCTTTTCAATAGGTACTTATAAAATTTATAGGTTCCTATCTTGATAGGTTCTCATAATAAGATACCTTACGTACTCATATCTAAAATAAATAATTTCGTTACTTTGGTATAGATAATATACACGAATATCGACCATGCACAATACAAGAATAATAAATCGAATATACTTTGTTTAACTTTTATACTGTTTAAATAAAGTATATTTTGATTGGTACACCTACTTAAAAATTTTATGTATTGACATGGCTTCTTTAAAAATATGGAAGAGTCTATCGACATGAGTGCCTAAACAATACACAACACAACGTCTCATAAGCATCGGGAATACTTTCGGCGGCTGCCACTTGTCTTTAGATAATTAATACCCATTATATCTAATGAGGTCGCTCAATGAGGTACAACACTCGTTACAGCAACATCTTCACAAATTCTGAAAAGACATTAAATAAGTTAGGTACTAATTACAATTATATTTTAGTTACGAAACTATATTATAGTAATATAGATAGATAGATACTCTTTATAGTTTCCTCCAAAAGATTACAATAATAAACTTATTATAGATACAAATAATTACAAGAAATAATCACAATGAGAAAACAATGGGCGATCTTATCGTTAAAAGCGATTTCTTTCAGGTAACCTTTGGATGGAGAGGAGTAATTATTAACAGTTTGATCGGAGGCACGATAAAAATTCTATTATTTCTAGATATGGACATGTAATAATGTAAATATAACATATATCTCTATTCATTATTATCTTACATTATAATATCACATTTATAAACGTAGTTTCTTTGTTAAATTTAAATAACTAATAACGTAGAGACAACTCATGAATGTGGTAAATAATACGCAGAAAATGTTACATTCACGTATTGCTATAGGTTTTCTTAACAGTCATAAACAAAAATAAGTATTCCATACTACTACTATTGCACTGATTACTTTTAAAAATTATTACTTATTTTAAATTTTACTACCGCTTTAAAAACTAAATTATGTAGAAGATTGAAAATAATTTATTAATTTATTCCTTATTGACCATATTACAAAAAATGTTTGGTACAAAAGACGGACTTAATGCTATATAGCATTTTCTCCCAGTTATTTTCTGTTAACTAATTTAGATACTTGAATCAATCTACTAATTTCATCAAAATCAAGCGACGTGTGCTTGTCTCGTCCTTATCTATTAGAACAGATAAGGACGAGACAAGCACACGTCGCTAGTACGAAAAAAAAATTCTTTTTAAATACTAGCAACACATAACGTCTTAGTCAACGTGAATTATAGAATCATGCATTAATCCTGAATTTGGGTCATCTATGTCCTTAATTAATTAAAGTTACCTTCATAATCGATCCGTCCGTCGTGATCGATGTCCCCAAGCGCGAGAACCTGATTCAACTGCGCGTCTGTCACTGGTTCACCGATCATCTCTAGAGCCGTACGCAACTCGTCTCGTGTTATGTACCCATTGTCGTCTCGGTCAAATACTCTAGAATTGGAACAATTTTGATTATAAGTATTTACCTGATAGTGGGGAACGGTCATTGAGCATCATAGTATATTTCGTAAAGTCAACGGTGTGGTCTATAAGAGACAGTTATCACTTTCCGTCAGATGGGCCCTCAACTTGTTTGCCAGTCTAAGTATCGTAAAAAATGGCAAATAAACAAAGAGACCAACCTCATCCAAACCAACACCATCGACTACTTATAGTGTGTTTCAAACAGAAACACTCTCTAAGTGAAATTAGTGTTAAATTGAAACATTCAAACAATTTATCGCTTGGTGAGACGATCTTATTCGTTTGTTTACATTTTCCCTAAGTTCTATTTAAAGAAACTATGAGCTCTACTATATGTATCAAGATTAATAATTAATACAGTTATCATATTAGTAGGTAGTATCTACTTTGCATACATACATTTATATGTAAATGCAAATATATCGAAATACTTATCTTTTGTATCCAGAATTATAAATATAACTCACTTGAAAGCGGCGAGTAAGTCTTTCGTAATCTCCTCTTCAGAGTCGCCGCCCCCTGAAGATACATCCATTCCTTGTAACGCTTGTATTTTCGTCACCCATTGCATAAATTCATTTTCATCTATTAGGCCATTACCTGAAAGTAGAAGATATAAACCTTATATCATCATACACTCTATGTACATCTACTTATTATAAATAAGTGAAAATGAGATAGTCACTGAAACCAGGCTGTTATTTGATTGCAATTATTTTGTTTAATTCCGCTGCCATAAGTATATCTATGACTGCCAACACTCCAAGACTAATACTATTATTACCAAAAGTTCCACAACCTTTCATATTAGCCATCAATCTCCGATTGCCATTTTGTTCACGCACATTTTGCGACATGTGTTTCACCTCTAAACCTGTAACCATTCAGCACCCAAACTGCAAATGTTTCGCATCAAGGAAGGGAAGATCCGAGAAATAACTATATGACATAGATAAAAGAAACATTAGGTGTCATGTTGTATAAGGAGGTCAAAGATATGGCCTGAAATAGAGTTAGCCGGTAACAAGAGGAATCTCTTAAATAAAAAAAATTTGCAAAATCACAAATTCAACCTATTAGAAGCTATGTATATCATAATAATATTATCCTATTTAGAAATTAACAGATTTTTTTTATTTATTCAAAGCTAGAAACAGTTACACAAAGATTTTAAAGAAATACATTATATGTATCTATTTGTTTTTTTATCAGTATTACCAGCTCCATTATCTACAAACATAATATTATTCGTATATACTTAAGTATATCTAATAAAAATAGCAAAAAAATTAAATGTATCCAGGTTTTGTATAATTTTTATTTTTTTTAATTTTTAATATATTTCTTTTCAAACATATAGTTCTAAGCACTAAATATTATATAAAGTTAAACAGTAAATACCAGAAGTATAAGCTCGAAAATATTCATAAATTTAAATAAATACTGACATTTATCGCAAACACTAGCAACAATAGGCAGGTACATAAAAGATTTCATCAAAAAGTGCGTGTTAAAGTTAACCACACTATATAATAATTGTAAAACTCCACCCAAGCAATGTGTAACAAAATTTAATGCGACAATCAACAAAAGGGCTGGTGTCGTTAAATCTTAATTAACGTTGTGGCTAGAGATGGGCAATCCACCTGGGTGGGTTTAAAGTCTGGTGGGTAAAAACCGGGTGTTTTGGGTTTATTGGGTTTAAACCCCATAAACACCCAAATTTTTGGGTGTTTATGATTTTGTACTTCATCATCGTCATCTCAGCCGCAAGACGTCCACTATACTGGACATAGACAATATTATTATGCAGCCTACAGAATAAAAAAACTTTTAATTTGATTTTGAGTTTATTAAGAAAGAGATGAAAGTAAAATGTAAAACTACAGTCAATCACTGTCAGATTCAGAGTTATTACAAGCGATGAATTGTATAGGTTCGATAGGCTCTATTTCGTCTAAACTGTTATGTTCATTTACTTGCTCAATGAAAGCTTCTAAGGTATTTTCTTCATTAAACTGAATGTCCTCGCATTCAGCTTTATGTTTAAGATTCCAGTTATAACAAATGAATGAAATTTTTTCAGTTCTTTCAGTTGTAAGTCGATTTCTTTTGTTATTATGTATGTAGCCTTGGATACTAAAGGAACGCTCAGTGGCTGCCGAAGTACAGGGAGCTGATAGAATACGAATCGCTACTTTGCTTAACTCAGTGGAACCACAAATACCTTTCCACCATATTAGGGGCTCAATGCTATCTAATGAGCTCCATACAAATCCTCTGGCCCAAAAGTTTTCTTTAGCTTTATAACACGCCAAATCTGCCATTACATTTGACAAACTTAAGTGTTGGCTTAAATTGTAGATAAACTCCATACCCTTAAGTTCTTCCTCTTGAGTAAGTTCGACTCCTAGAGTCCTGGGGTCTAGAATATATGCTGCAAAATGTATTGGCCTCATTGCCATATTGCATCTTGAAGATACTGATGTTAGAATCTGCTGTTTGCTTTCTTCGCTCAATGTCGAAATCTCATTTAATGCAAAACGTATCTTAGCTTGTACATCTCTAAATGTAATGTATGTGCGATGCAAACGATTCTGGTCGCTCTCTAAGTAAAATATGCTTTCAGTGACTGGTTCCAAAATACTTATACATTCCCCTGTCTTCGTCCAGAAATCATCTCTTTAATATCTCTTGAAATTACCACATCTTCTCTAACTGTTAATATTTGCAAAGCTATCTTATTTGCTTTCAAACTTTTTAACGAAGTAACATGACTTCCCCATCTTGTAGCACAAGGCAATTTTAGTGTTTGTGTAGAATCTTCACCCTGCCTTGATTTTATCAACAAGGAACTTAATCGTTGACTCCTTTTAACAGTTTTTATTATATTTATGGCTTGCATAATAAACACAGTTACTTCTTGTATCTTTACAATATCTTGGCACAACAAGTTAAGGATATGTGCACAGCAACCGAGAGGAACAACATGTGGATATTTGAGTTTTGTTAATTCGAATGCCTTTTGTATATTTCTAGCGTTATCGCCAATAAGTACAAGAAACTTATTTGCTCCATACACTTTCATTACTTTTTCAACTTCTTGGCTAAGGTATTCACTAGTGTGAGGATTACTTTCTGTATTCAAACTTTTAACGTATGCAGGTTGAGGTTTTGATATAAGAAAGTTTATTATTCCTTCATTTCTTAAATTAGACCAGCCATCGCACTGAAGGTGTAAGTAACTACAAGCATTTAGTTCCTCATTTAACTCAAAACGCATTTCTCTATATATTTTATCTAAGTATTTTGTCGCTAAAGCTTTACGTGAAGGTATTTTAAATTTTGGTTGCAATTTTTCGAAAAATTGTATCCATAAAGGATGTTGCACCATCGATAATGGCGTCCCTGTTACAAATATAGCTCTCGCTAATTCTGTTTTTATATGATCATCGGTGTCTTGAAACTCAGCATTTATTGTAGTGTTAGCAGACGACGAGGGGCTTATAAAAGAATCATTTGTCTCTATCTCTGACAGTTTTTTTTTTTTTTTTTTTTTTTTTTTATAGAACTTAGAATGGCAAACAAGCTGACGGCCCACCTGATGGAAAGTGGTAACCGCCGCCCATAGACACGAGCAGTACCATGGACATAACAGAGTATACTGTTTCGCCCATGATACCCCCCATGCGTTGCCATTCCTGAGGACTCAGGTGTTATTCCTCTGTACCCAGTAAATTCACGCAGTCCAGACATTTTGGTTTTGGACGAGCTATCTTTTATAAGTTTCATAGAGTCTTTTAATGTTTCTGGAGATTTTGGACAAGTGATAAGATGTTGAAGCATTTTGGCAGCATTACTGAATTTGTAGACCTTATTACAAAGCTTGCAAGAAACAGACTTGTTTGGTAAAGTACGGTAGTGCTCCCATATGCGTAAATCTTTAGGTCTCCCCATTGAACCTAAAAAAATGAACGATGATTAGTTGGTCTGACGAAAATTCAACAATAGAGTGCCTATTTTTTTACAATGATTATTTCTTGTTATTTACAATAAATTTATTAAAAAAATAATAAAATAAATACAAAAAGCCTTTGTAAAATTACATCTCCTCGGAGGATTAAACGCAGACGCTAGTTTATTATCGTATTGTTCTGTATTTTTCTCAGCAACTTCTTTAATTCGATTAGGTACTTACGCATATTATGTTAAAAATAAATATCTAGTACACATCTTAGGCTATCCACCATTATTATCCAATGACGACTCTCAGCTAACTATGCACTATCATCCAAAATAAACGTGTATGGAAAATTTTATCCCAGTCGGTTGAGGATTGAGGATAATTGCATCAACATACGAACATACCTACATACTTTTATTTACATAACGCAAGCTAAATAAAAGCTTGTAATAATACATCTAATTTTAAGTTAAAATTGTTAAGTGATCATGATATAATTGTATCATTCAAAAATCCACTTACCTTTAATTATTTCTTGTTAAGTATAAATATTATTTCAAATCTGCTCCCTTAATATGCACTTTTTTACTGCTTTTCCTACCTAACACGTTACCAGGAAGTCACGTTACCAGAGTCAGAGTAATAGTGAACACGTTTGACAGTGATTGTCGTCGCCTCATATTCAGCGTCGACGAATAGGGGAATCCCCAGTCATAATGTATTGCATGCGTGGCGGTCTTACTTCAAATCCATAAACAAAGAGATAATTACAGAACTCGATACTAGATGGCGCTGTTTTTGTTTGAAGAAAGTTTGCGGGCTAAAATACATAGAATTTCATCAATGACTTCCACAAAGAACAACATTTCTGTTTTTTCTAAGTCCGTATCTCTTCCGTATATTTCATAAGATATAAGCTTGGGCTACATTGTTATGCAACGTGATTTTGTCGCTGTCTTGCTAGCAGGGTTGACAGATATACGATTTAAATCGTACTCATACTATTATTTGTCTATTTTTTAATGTACGATCGTAAAGATTATGATCGTAATTCGCACAAAAACATACGACTTTTTGGTTACCTGGCAACATTTTTATTATGAAACGAACATGCTCACATCATCAGTCACATGCAACAATTTATTGGGGATTTCCCCTTCACATCTGGCAGTCCTGCTTGCTAGAATATAGGTAAGTCAGCCACAGTTACTGACGATCGATATTTAAAGGGTATTGTTTTTGTGCTAAATATTTCATAAAAACGTTATTTAATACTTTGTGGATTATTAATTTAGTTGATAATCACTGGAAGTAAAATGGATGCTAATTTGAGAGATCAAGATCTTCGTATAAAACAGTTAATAAAAGAAAATCTACGTAAGTACTCTTTTTATACCTAGGTAGGTAAGGTATAATAAACACAAAAGGTACTTAGATCGCGTGTGTTCGAAGCATTTATTCTAATAAATTTAATTTAAAATTGTAGAAAGAAAAAAATGTCTGCCAAGCCGTAGCCGAAGCCGATCTCCAAATATATTTGGCGATAGTGAGACCCAGTGTCCAGATGATTTACCCAGCGTCGTCGCAACAAAGAAAAAAAACGAGGATAAAGTAAAAGAAAATTTACTGAAAGAAG